TATCTGCACGGTTTACTATTCAACTTGTTCACCTTGAAATTCCTTATTCTAAACTGTGGAACTTCAGAGGGGTCTTCTGGTGTGCCTGTTCTTTGTTCTGGCCGAATGCCGTATTAAAATCGATTTGTCATCAGAAGAGTATCCCGAGAAAGATTTTACGAACAGGCGGTCCACTTTAGGTAAGTGTGAATACAACTTAGAATCCGTAAGTTCAAAAACTACTAAACAAACACTGTCGATAAGTTCTTGAAGATGAGGTCAAACCTTAGGAGCATTCAACGATTTATATTTCGAGGCCTTCCATTCTTCCTCAACAACTTATTCTTTCGATAGCCATTGAAGTGGTTGCTATAAAATTTGAATTCATGATAAATTCGGTAATTTAGAATCATTCCGAAACCGTAAGATTCCTACCGAAGCCGAAGAATTGACCGGACGAGAATTGATCGATTATGTGAACAGCCATCAGTCATTGTGGAAGGTTTGTCGGACACTTTGGATCACTAAATACACGAAAAAATAATAAGAAAAAACTTTAATATTGGTAGAATGTGCTAAACTGCGTGGCGTTAATTCGATACAGGAGGCACAGAACTGCAGATGGATTTGAAGGCGTAGATGACCTGTACCGTGACTTGTGGGTCGGCTGTTTCCTGAGAGTTTTGACCCTATCTAATAAATATGGAACGGCTTCCTAGCTCAGAGGAATGGAATTTCTGTGAGGCCTGCGTTAGAAACGACATAAATTACACATTCACTTACTGAGCTCCTCTAAGCAGCAGTAGCATAAGAAGCGGCCTGCTATGCTTCCTTTGAGAAGAGTTAGCCACTTTTTTTGAAGTTTTTCGTATTTACCCCAATTTTGCGGTACTGCTTGTCTCCCAGGCATAGAAGTCGATCTCATGTGCAACCCCGAAGGGAAAGAAGGTTGTTCTAAAAGTAATTCTTAAAGATCCTGCTCGGTACACTGCACCTCGTCACTGCATCCTCGGCATATCCCTTTGAACTGCACCAGGGAGAATACTAGACTGATACTCAAGTACTTTGCAGATCGGCCTCTTTGAATCGAATCTAAAAGTCAACTTCCATAAACAGCTGACTCGAAAAATATTCTCCATGACTAATTTGAACTGGTCCACAAGCCCAGAGTTCGGCCCGCGTCAGCGCTTAAAACTGCATGTTAAAAGTGTTAGAGGCTTGTGTTGCTCAGGTGACTCTGTCTTATAATTGCATCATGGGCCGTACCCGCGCCTCACTCATTCCTACGCTCTCTCGTACCCTCATCCTATAATTTATCTCAAAAAACCAAGTTTTGTGGCAGAACAGATCTGGGCTTTTGAATTCTTACCAATGAGCAAATTTTCAGGCAAAGGAGAATCGCCGTTTTGCTCGCTATCCAGATCGCACCAAATGGGGCTTGATGGGTGTGAATCATGTGCGCTTGAGCGTGATGGTTCGTTCCTTGTCGTTTTTCGCTTATCTTTGCTCCATTTCAATCGGACGTCTACTGCGCCTCCTGTCACCGCATGACTCTTATCACCTGCTTTTCATAGGCAAAACAGCATCTGTCCACCACCAAGGACTTAGATATTGACATTCCGGAGTCGTTCGATTCGCGTGAAGAATGGCCAAACTGCGAATCCATCAAAGTGATCCGGGATCAGTCCAGCTGTGGTAAGTGCATAGGGAGCCCTCAGGTAAACCGTAAAAGGATAGAGTGGTAGATATTGAAAAAGTACTGTTCCTTCGAAAACAAATATCTCATTTAAAAGTATATCCTGAATGAAAATGTAAAAATGTTATCAAATTTCGTACACATTCGGTAAAGTACAAACCGAGTTCTATAGATTTTAGAGTGAAGGAATAGTTGGAAAAATGCTTACACAAAAATATATTTCTGTTCCATTTCTGTCGGAATAGTTTCCTTCACGAGTACTGCAAAAGGTGCAAGAACTGCATCTTTGAAAAAGATTTCGAGAAAACAAACGCCTTCGTTTCTCGTTATCAACTGCAATGTCCTGCAGCGGAGCAATAAATTCGACCCAACAAAAAGCGAGGCTTTACTGTCAGATATAGCAAAACTCTCTAAACATAATAATTTTGCACTTATTTCCTGGTAAACTAATACCATTTTCATGTCACTTCCCTTTATTAGCTTGATCACGAACATGCAAAGTTGTGTGCTGCATGGCCTACGTAACATAGTTCATGACCGATCTCCGGGAGACGGTCAATTCAATCGTAATCGGACGATCCCATGAAATTTCCATTTTCAAGGATCCTGCTGGGCGTTTGGAGCTGTTGAAGCGATGTCGGATCGAATTTGTATTGCCTCCAAGGGAGAGATCCAGGTAGGATTCTTATAATCGAAATGTTACACAACTCATTGTCAGCTATTCTGCAGAATAATGACGTGTACCCGTCGCAAGCAGTGCTAACCTTAACGCTTGCGCACTTTTTCAAAAATTTCTTGCGAAACCCGCCAGTGGTAGCATCGACTGCCCTTTAGGAAGATGTCGATGCGACCCACTGCGGGTTTCTATCGTATTTGATTATTTGATTCTGAAACCAATCGACACACTCCGACCCCGTCCATTTTTCCCTCCAAAACAGCGGCATGGGAACGCCCTAAAAACGATCCGCCCACCAGTTTAGTTGGCGATTTAGACGAGTTGTATCGCCAGCAGCGGCACAACTGCTGCAACTCCACTGGAGCATGGTGCCAGCAATCGCCTTCCTGTGAACTCGTCCATATATCTGCTGTCTTAGTCCTGTCCTTCCCGTCCCGACGAAGATTATCGGCCACGCGTTCAAGGAAAGAGTTCGGGCTGTCCATAAGCTGCCTAGACCTAGTGTCTGGAATTATTACGAATTATTCGTATCATTTAAAGGACGAATTTACGATGGAAAAGCAACCCATTCCAAATTGAGGTAGAGATGGTGAGTAGTACCAGAAAGAAAGCGAAACCACGAAAAACGGCCCAGAACCGGAGAAATGGGACCCCTTCCTTGTCCGTTGATTTGAGCATTGATGGGACTCTCATCGCTTTGCCCTCTTCAACCCTACGCTCTCTCAGCTATCTAATCACTCGCCACCTATTGTACTACGGCGAGTGATCAGACGATCGGTGGGCGGAGATCGCCGAACTCGCCAACTTTGAGCCATGCTAGATCTCAGAGGTCAAATCTTTCGATGCCGATTGCGTGTCTGTCCGCACCCTCAAGAGATTCACCGCTCTCCCCACTAGGCGATTTCTCCCTTCTTCGACCTTCGTTCTTTCCGTGCAATCCTCCTTTAAGGAAATGTGAATAAATTCGTTCAGGTATGCTATACGCCGATAACTTCGTATAATGTATGCTATACGAAGTTATTACGTTCGGGTAGGACCATTGTACACAAAACTAGTCACAATTGTTATGTGTTTCAAAACTAGGCGTCTAGGCTTTAAACTATCTTCTTTAGTCTGGCCTATTTTATCTTATCTATATTTAGCTGCAACGGCGGCGATCCACTGGCAGCCTGGAAATACTGGGTGAGGGATGGAATCGTTACCGGATCGAATTTCACCGCAAATCAAGGCTGTAAGGTTAGTGAACCCATCGATTGCAGAGATACGAGACGATTTGAAGAGTGAATAAGATTATGTGGATTCAGCCGTATCCGTTCCCACCCTGTGAGCATCACTCAAATAAGACCCACTACGATCCCTGTCGCCATGATCTGTTCCCAACTCCTAAATGTGAGAAGAAATGTGTGCCGACGTATAACGAGAAGAGCTACAATGAGGACAAGTATTACGGTACGTTTAGGCGTGTTCGCTCACAATACGCAGAACTTGTAATTATTTTCAAGCATAGAGAAAAGCCTCAAATCTGAATATAGTACGAGACGCACGGGTTTGTTATATGGGACAACTCTACATTACAGACGAGATAAGAGCCCACTTTTGGCTGTTGAAGGTTTCGAGTCATCACTAGGCCAAAAAGCACAGAGGCTAGTCTTTTGTGCAAGCATATGAACTATGTTTCCCACGACTGGTCATGTCAAAATCACAGTCATAGCCATATATGTGGCAGCAGATGGCATCAAGAGCACGATAAACACGTGATATCCATTTTTTTCGGAGCCATTGCCATGCTTTCAGATGAGTCTGCAATTACGACAAGTGCAGCTCCGGGAAACGGGGTATGGATCTCGTATTCGACACCCAAACCCAATCATAATCAATAGTTTGTGTTCTCGAGATGATCAGACATTGATTCCATGGCCAGCCATGAAATCCTTACATTGGGATCTGAAAAAAAAATGAAGTGGGCGCGAGCATGCTTTCAAAAGTTCCAGTAAGGGCGTTACTTATGCTTAGTCCCGCTCGGTTTTGTAAAGTATTTCGTAAAGCGCTACAAGGTCAATGTTTGGGAGGGTATGGGAACGACACTCGATGTCATGGAGACGCTCTGTTCGTAGTTATTTATGGGTACCAATAACTTATGGTTAGTGACATCGCATCAGTCAACTTTTCATTTTTTTGTCCTTGTGAAACTTCTCTAAATATACACATAAGGTTCCCAGCTCAGACGATTGTTTACAGGAAGGAACGCCTACGGAGTTAAAGACGATGTAACTGCTATTCAAAAGGAGATTTTGACACATGGCCCTGTTGAGGTGGCTTTTGAAGTCTACGAGGATTTCCTTAACTACGCTGGAGGCGTCTATGTGGTTAGTATTTTTCTTGTACAATTATTCGAACAAAATTAGCCCAAAATCACTTCCGTCTGTAACACTCATTAGCTGCCCTTATCATCTGCGACGTCGACAGTGGTCCGGATACATATTGACTCCCCTGGCACTTAGAGTGATTGTCAGCTAATCAGCTCTTTACCACGGTAATTCAGATTGGTTACTATTATGAGCTCCGCACCGACCTCTTCCATTCTGCAGCCCTTTCTTTAACCCAGTCGCGACGGGGCGGGACTGCGCAATAGCAGGAGAGTCAGGAGATTTTTCTTCAATAAAATTTGAGTGGATGGAGATTTCCCCTGCCCAGGGCTGGCGTAGATGAGGGTATGAAGATTCTTTTCAGGAAAGAAAACTTTCCAAATTCCATTTGAAACACGGCAGCCACAGTGGATACCATTGTCCCGAGTGAGATCTTTGTCAGCCCACGGATGGCTGCCATTGTCACGAATGGGTTAACGTACACCGAGACCTGGACTCTGCTCAATCTGGATGATCATGGGTCAGCGCCACCCAACGCGCAGTGAACGAGAACACAATGCTTGGAGTTAGTTTGCGAACGACTGAAATTTTCTGTGGCCGTCCCACGAATGGCTAGAGCGCAAGCGATTGGAGAGGGGCATTTGGTTCGGCTATGAATTCCTCTGGGTTGGGTGAGCCGATTACAGTTTGGCAAAAGTTCAAATGTGTGAGATCACAGTAG